TGGGCCTGCAGAGGACTTTTTGTAAGAACATAGGGGCTGAGCACAAGGCTGATAGAGTGGCTCTACCATAAGATCGTCCCTCTGATTATTTCTTATGCATCCATAGCATGGTAGCAGAAGACACTGCAAAAACTATCATATATCGCCTTAAAAACCGCAAAGTTTGGCCTGTCTTTTCGTCACTGGATCATGCTCAACTGCGGCTCTAGAGTCGTTTCTAGTATGAACTCCTCTCCAGATTTGTATCTAGGAAACAGCTGCCACGAGGGAGAGAAAGAGAAAAGAGATCTGCTTTTGGCAGAAAGTTCCAAGTGGAAATACCCTATCGCGAAGATTGGGAAAATAGGCTCCCTGCATTTGATCCCAGATACGTACACTAGTACACTGGCGGTTCAAGAGACAAAGCAGATGCAGGTACCAAACTTGAAATTCCCATGGGCAAATGGCCCACGTTGTTTCAGGAATTGGAATAGTCGCAATTTTAAACTGCGCGAAATTAAACCTTGAAAAGGTGTTTGAAAGCCGCCTTTCTAGATATCTTTTCAGACAGCCAAGCACTTATCAGGGCCCTTTCAAAAAGGACTATGACATCCTCCTGAAAAGCTGATTAGAGACTGCTTTGACACGCTACGTTTTCAGGACCTGTACCATTCTGTGTCTCAGTTGGTCTTCTTCGAGAGCCATAATTACTGAGTGGGTACAGGTACACACTGAACGCAGTAAGTACTGTGGAGCGGTGGGGGCCATAGACAGGTCAGGGCTCCTCGGCTATCCTTTCAACAAAGAGGATATTATTTTGGAAAATAGAAATGAAATCAGGCTACTTTCTGGGTACTTGACTGGTCACAATCGACTGCGATTCCATTTGTAACACATATATAGGTGTGACCACAGATTCAGAATGCCGGCTCTGCCTTGAAGATATGAAACTTCAGAGCATATTCTATGTTGCTATCCGGCTTTGGCCAGACAAAGATTGTTCCATTTTAAAGCTACTATGGTCGAACCTTTTGTTATAAAGAATTTGCTTACCAAAGCCCTTTTAGGATTCATTAGGGAAGCCGATGGTATCGAGGCCACACTGGGTTAGGGACTCCCTCTTTAAGAAATACAAAAGATCGTTCAGGTCGCGGTGTCTCTTGTTCTGTTAAACCGAACCGAAGAACTAACTAAATAACTAACTAACACTACGCAAACTAAATTGTATCGCGCTGAAAACAGGACTATTTTAATATTCCAACCACTTATTTTCCCAAAACATAAAAACAATTTTTTAAAGAGTTATCTACTGACTTATCAAACTGCCCTCATATCACTCACTACTTTTGAGATTAAATTGCTTCTGAAGTTATTGTTGGAAAAGCATACAATTTTTTTAAACAATTATGGAGGATGATGCGAAAGCCTTTGGTTAGATATTTTTCATAAATCTGGAACCGGTTATGTAGACAGAGGTGGTCATGGGATCGTGCTACTGGAGTTCAGTGCTATTGTTATTTTGGGTATCCTATCCGCAACGCTTTGTTTACAGTTTTAAACCACTATTAAGCCCAGATATTTATTAACGGTTTTCTTTGAGAGAATTATCTATGTGCATTAGAGTGCATCACCAAAGAAAGTTCTTCCACCGCAATTATAAAATGTATTATATTTTTAAACTTTCTACAAAATATTCCGGAAAAATATTAAGATTTGCGTGAGCTAGACCGATTGGAAAATACCGTTAATAAAATTTTTAAATATTTTTAAGCAGACATTTTAAATTTAACCTCTTCAATCATCTGAGGTGATTTTTTAGAAAAAAATCTTTTTAAAAACTAATTAGATTTATAAAAAAATCAATTTTGTGATATTTTCAAATAGGTACTGCTCACGTACACTCCCAGCTATTTGAATGGCACACCCTTTTGATACTCAGTATGTACGGTTTTGCTTTTCTTTGTTTAATTTTAATTTTTTATAAAAGTGTAGCATATTCTACGTGTAAATCCGATTTTAAAATTTTATTTTTTTTTGCTCAAGGTGCTGCGCTTTTTCTTCCATAAAAAAAATTTGTCGAGAATACTTGGTATGGAAGAAAATGCATGACACTGTCAACAAGAAAACTGTCAACAGTATTTTGTACCCACTTTAAACTTGCACTTTATTGTACTAAAATTAAATGGGCTACAAAATTGTATACGCGAAAATTTTCTATAAATATGATTAACTTATGCACTACAGGCCATTAGGATAGCACACCCCTTTGTTGACATGTTGGTTTTAAATTTGTATAAAAATTTAAAATCAGATTTACACGTAGAATGTAATACATTTTTGTTAAAAATTAAAGAATATTACACAAACAAAAGGAAAAGTGTACATACTAAGGATCAAAAGGGCAGTGTAAATCTTAATATTTTCTGAAATATTTTCGCGGAAGTCTTGAAATATAATGAATTTTTTTATTTCCAATGGAAAAACAGTACCGATTTTTTTTTTGCATGTAGACTGATGCTCCCTAATGTATATGTATATATTCCAAAATTGAAACCATTTGTTTCAGAGATCTCCTCCAGTACCCCCAATCGGCAGTTTATGTATCAACTGTTAATTACCATTTTCAGAGCTGGGTAAATGCAATTACATTACAATTACAATTACAGTTCCCAGTAATTGTAATTAGGAATCAATACCTTCAGTCCACAGCAAAGGAATTGAATTACTTTTTGAAGTAGTTCATATATAAGTTCGAAGTAGTTTCATAAGTATTTTTTTTTTAAATTACAACAACAAATTACGTGCTAGTAATGTATTTTTTTTTTTTTATTGAAAATGTACTATATTTATTTAGCCGCAAAATATTCAACCCTTTTCTGGTGTCATGCACTAAAACACTCTGAAAGCAATATACATATACATACATACTTTCACACATATGGATGTAATTCACACATAATTTATATGCATATACTCGTATGTTATCACTGAGTTACCACTTGCCACACGGTCACTTGCAACATGTCGCAACTAAATGAACATAAGCTCATCAACGAGTCCCCTTGATGATAGATAACATCTAAAAATGTGGATTAAATTCGGAATTGTTTATGAATCCTGGACACACGTCATCGCTCTGACCATGGGTGGTCTCCGGTGGCATTAGTGCGCAAACTACTCCGCGTTAATTGAAAAGCATCAACGTTAGGCCAGTAAAAAGTGCCCACCGCTCTCTGCCATACGACCAGCAAAATTGTGCGAATGATAATAAAAAGCGACACTTGCTCCTGCTGTACGAGTATTATGTGAACAAGCAACGGAGACAGAAAATATGATTAAGAACTCCTTGCAACACAAAAACAAGTCTATTAGCGATTTGACTTCATCTCCACCGACACAGAAGTGCTAACTGCGAAGATTTGTCGTTGGGTTTGCCATTTGGCGGTTGGCACGTGCCGCCCATTAATTTATAGCAGCCACCCACCCAACCAATCTAGCAATCAAATCACTGCAAGAACGTACACACAAAGTACATCCTACATAGCTTGGCTGTAAATTTGCGTTTATCATTACAGTATTTAAGATTCACAAAAGGACACGTGTCAGTCGTCGACTGTGGCGTATACTACATAGTTTCCTTATAATACGAGTACGTACGCACCTTCTACTGTTTTGTTGTGACAAATAAAAGAATTATTTTCATTGTTGTTGTAACGGTGCTGTATGAAAATACAAATTACCGTAATACAGGATATCCGTTGTGGTGTAATTTTTATCTCTCACTTAATGCTGGCACGTTTTTTCGCATTGGTGTCGTACGTTGGCACAAAATCAGTCAAAAAACAGTTGGAAGTATTGAATGATTGCTCCTTGGGGAGCTTTAGTCGCATCACAACACTCCCATGTACTTTTGTTTGTAATTGAATTGTAAAGGATGCGGAGTCGCAATCATTACAATGAACTTTGGTTTTCATTGTACTTTATTTTTTATTGAATTGCTTATCTGTTGTTTGAAACGTGAAGACGTTGTGAAAGTTAATTAACCACAATTTTTTTATATTCTGTTTTCTCTTTGCAGCTTCTAGGTGTTCTACTGCTGTAGACTAATGATTCGGCAGGCCCGTTTAGATATGACGACGGGTAACGTGTTTTTTTTTTTTTTAATTATGGCCAATAAGTTCTTGATTGTAAAAGAAGAATGAAAGCTTAAAAAAGTTAAGAAGTTTAAATGCAGATGAAACCGATGTTCATATACCCGTCGAAGCTATTCTTATAATGTATGTTGTATGTATGTTGGCGTGTCAATTGACAATTACAAATTACATTAACTCTGATCCAATACTTTTCATGTAAAATCCTGTAAAAATGTCAAACAGCAAAATTACTCTCTGAAGTGAAAGTAAAAAGTGATCAAACAGTCTTCTTTCGAATTAAAAAAAAAAAAACGAAACCGAACAAATTGAAGCAATAAATTAAAAGTTGATTGCAAGCCAGTAACATTAAATCGCATACGAAATGAAAATATTTACGGTAATACTTTAATAATTTTCGCTATCAACTTGACAACGCACAATTTTTGCTTATTTTTGTGTAACAGCTGATCATTTGACACTTTTCGGCTGCATTTCTTTATTCATTCTGAACGTTTGGAATAAAATTTTTTGTTTACTTATTCTTTAGAACGTTCCTGATGATATGTTAACGTATATTTCAAACGCATTCTGTTTATTCTGGCTGTGAAATGGGATTATCTGCAATGTATAAAAAAGCGCAACCTTCATGATTTTACCAGAAGAAAAACTTTTTGTAAAATCTTATGAATTTATTCTGCACACAACTCTCCAAAAATCGCTCTCACTGACAGGATTTTGGAGTACGGGAACATTTTTCCTGTAACTTCCTGCAAGTTCATGTAAAAACCTGTAAGTTCGTGGAGTATTGGATCAGAGCTACTCATTGCCTTATAGCATAAACAGACGGCAACGTTAATCCGGATTATCAAAATTCTACCCTGACAGATGGCAGTATTGCGTATTAAGCGAGCCGCGGGGTCGTGGATTCAAAACTCCATCAACAATTGTTAAGCTCCTTCAATTACCACTTTTATTTTGTTTTTAAGTAATCATAGTATTTGCGGCCTCTTTTAATATATTTAAACCCTAAAAAGTTAAATTAACTTGAAATAATTATGTGAAAAAATATAAAACAAAAAATAAAATAAAATCAAATATAGAATTAAAAGAAAAAAACAAGGAAAAAATATAAAACCAAACAAACAACAAATTTTTAGCAAAAAAAAACAGACTTAAAAAAAATATATATATATCTATATATTTCATGATCCAATGATCGGATCTAAACCAAATTAGACACTACCTTTCCGTTGCAAAAAGAATTATTGAAATCGGTTGACGTGGTGCAAAGTTATGCGGTAACATACATAAAAAAAAAAAGAATATATATATTCCGACGAACTGATAACCTCCTCCTTTTTTGGAAGTCGGTTTAAAATGATGTTTAAGAATAGCGTGGAGTGGGGATCGAACATTAGAGCTATTGAGCTGCAGAACACAGTACTGACCAATCAGCTACCGCCGACACCAAACTTTAGTTGCCGTAAGGCCCGTTTGTTCACTGTCTGGTTCCAATTATTCTTCTTCTTATTTGGCGCTATAACCGCCTAAGCGATTTTGGCCGAGTTCAATAAAGCACGCCAGTGGTTTCTGTGGCAATTGGAAATATCAATTGAAGCCAAGTCCTTCTCCACTTCGTCTTTCCATCGCAGTGGGGGCCTCCCGCTTCCTACGCTACCACCAACGGGTTCCAAGTTGAATACTTTCAGAGCTGGAGCGTCGGTATCCATTCGAACGGCATGGCCAAGCCAGCGGAGCCGCTGTATTTTAATTCGCTGCACTATGTCTATGTCGTTGTAAAGCTCATACAGCTAATCGTTCCATCGTCTACGGCACTCGCCGACGCCAATAATATAAGATCTACTCGATAAAGCAGTCATTGTATTTAACCGGAGCATTTACCTCCGCTTTGTGTTAACCGGACATTGAACAAGCGGCAAATTTTATGTGTCTTCACCAAACCGTTCGCTTCGCAATCTCAATTTAGCTTGTTGCCTAGTGTCAGAACGAATAAGGATGAAATTAAAAGTTGAATAAGGATATTTTCCTTATTGAAAACAAATACCTGCTATTTTTGAACCATATTCTTTGTAAGCCTGAGTTATCAGTAATATTCAAGAAGTCGCACAATCGATAATTAAATTGCTTTCAATTTAAGTCTGACCAAATGTTTCGCAAGGTCTATATCAATTTTTGTGAAATATTTAAAAACACACTTATGAAATTAAAGAAAGTTATAGGTGACTTACTTAGTAAATGAAAAATGTTGGAAGTAAGGCGTGCAATAAAACTATGTAAACGGTTTTTACAATTGTCTTGCCAAACTTTACACTTTAAATTCAAATCGCTAAGTAATACTTTTAAATTGATGAAGATTTATTTTCATAGCTTTCAAAGTGAGCACAATTCTCTTGAAGATAACTTGGTAAAATTTAAGTGTCTTATAGCACATTTCCACCAATATGCAGTTAGAGCACAGATATGTTCCAAAAATTTGAACATGAGGTGATCTATAAGGTTTATTTCTTACTATTTGCTTTTTAAACGTCGTTTGCTTGTACATATTTAAGATGAGCAATAACACCCTTGGTCCCCTTTCAGACACGTCAAGTCTTGCTTTCAAGTCTGCTCGTTCGTTGGCGAAGGAGGTGGGAAGAGAGGGGAAGAGTACAGATACCTCCGTACCGTCAATTCGTTTCAAGTTTTCTTGTTGTCTTTTGATCTTTTCGTTGCTTCCCATTTCAAGATCCAAGGACTTGAATTCAATAAAACTTGACGCGTGTGGAAGCAAACAGAAAACACAAAAGAGAATGCGATAAAAATTGCTTTCAAGACTTGACGTGTCTGAAAGGGGACTTGCAATTGTAATTTCCTTTCTCGAATTGGCATAAACTGCAGTTAAGGTTTGGTGCAAATTAACTGTTACAATGCTTCGTAAAATTCTTGTCACAAACAAACCGGAAAGCTTTATACTCGATCAGCCAAAATCGCATCAACTCCTACACACAATATTGCCGTCAAGATGCGAAATATTCAAAACCCATCGCATTTTAAAAAAAGAATAACACTCTATCTACTGCCTTTTATCTTTTGCCTACTATTTTATAATGATTTCATCCGTGCTTTTCCTAAAATCATACAACCTTGGAATTGTTATGTTCAGGTTGTAAGCTTTTATTTTGTTCTGTGGGATACTTCCTACTATATGTATATTTGCGTGATGATGCTTCATCTTCCCAAATAGTTCAGGCCAAAGTAATAAATGCTTCCAATTATTTGCTAAATTATATACCACAAGCTCTACTTTGATTTTCCAACTCAAAAAATCACCTCAAAGCAAACAAAAAGCAGCATTTCAAAACCATCTCGAATTAATTTTTTCTGATATTTCAACATATGTGCCAACAGCAAATAGCTTTTCTACCCCCAAGTGGTAGGATGCATAAAAGGGCTTTGGGCGGATCTCAATAGCGTACATACATATGTACGTGCATACAAAGACGAACAAAAAGTTATTAAATTATATATACCTATGTACATTAGGGTGATCCAAATAAACTAACCTAACGAATTTGTGGTCTTAAAAGGACATATTTACCGAGAAGAATATTCTCCCATTTGGAAAAACGTTTATTCCAATTTTAAAAGGTGTCGGGGGCATTTGAAATTTTCCATGTAAATAACATGAAAAAAATATAAGTATATTTTTTTCATTAAAAATGTTATAACTATTGAGCCGTTTGAGATAAAAATTTGTCTAAACATATTCTTGTAGGGCATTGAATTCTCTAAAAAAATCTCTCTAAATTTGGTTGGCTTAGACACGATTAAAAGTTTTAAATATGTTAAAGATATTGCTGAACGAGGTATAGCATCGATACAAAATTATAATCGAACTTTGACCAAAGATGAAGAACAAAAGCAATTTCTTTCGCAAGTAGTGCAATTACATCGCCAGCAATATACTTTTACTCGTCTCTAAGACAACCAAATTTAGGGTAATTTTTTAGAGAATTTTACAAGAATATGCCTAGAAAAAATTTATCTCAAGCGGTTCAATAGTTATGACATTGTAATGAAAAAATATATAAAACTCATATTATTTACATGGAAAATTTCAAATGCTCGCCGACACATTTCAAAATTGGAATACAAATTTTTCCAAATGAGAGAATTTTCTTCTCAGTAAATAGTTCCTTTTAAGGCCATAAATTCATTAGGTTAGTTTATTTGGATCACCCTAATGTGCATGCATTGCTTTATGAACATATTACACACTTCAAATAATTAAATACTTAATTATTTATGATTTACAAAAAAAAATATACCTACATATGAATTACTCTTTTGTTGTTTTTTTTTTTTTTGGTTTTTTGGTAAAGCGGTTTTTTGTGATGGACTTGCGGTTCTTGGACAAATGGCATATGGCGCATGAAGATATTAAAATTAGGGGATGTCCCAACGGCAACCGCAAGAATAAATAACTGTAAAAAACGCGAACGTACAAATGTAAAGAAAGTGGTCTTTGCGGTTACACATGTGCATCTAGTAAGCATCAACCCTTCCGGCCAAACCTAAATTTCATGGCAGCCTGCTCTCCCTTTTCTATTTACTTTGATCATTGATTTGAGAATAGAAATGATTTGATTTTTCACATATTTCTCACTGTTGGTCATACATATAAGCGTACATATTATTTTCTGTGTATGCCAGTGTTTCTATTTGTGCATACATAAGTACATTCATATGTAGGTATTGTATTTCGTATGAATCTTTTCATTACTTCCGTATCCTCTGCTGGCAAATTATAATCGAGCTTGTTGACACCTTTGATATGCTACAACGGTCAATTTGGTGAAGCAAGAAGAAGCTGAGACAAATTGGCATTTGTCCACATTTTTTTGTTCGTCCATTTGAAATGAAAATTGGAAACGGAACTCAATCACTTATGTTTTGTTAGTGCAGTTGTAATGAAGGAAGTGATTGATTGTCAGCCAATCGGTGAGCACAAATCGATTTTTCCATCACTATTATACATACATATGTAAGTTATTATTTACTATCTGTTCATTTTGATATAAGATCTTAAAAACAGTACATTGTGTTAAATTTATCGTATTAGTTGAAATGCATTGAACTAAATAGACTTTACAAAATGTCCCTTAAATAATATAGTGCGGCGGTAGGAACTGGCACGCTACAGAATAAAAGATGTATTCGTAGTGTTTTAGCCGTAAATATTTTACGTCAATTAGTTAATTTTACAAATAAGAAAATCAATATATTCGCGAAACAAGGGGCCCAAAAACGTTAAACTGCGTATTTTAGTCTTCCACTTGGACTTGCGAATTATTTTAAAGCGACTTCGAAATTATCAGGATATAATTAATTTAAAAAAAAAATTTAAGTGTTAGTGTCATATAGAATAAAAATATGGGTATCAAATAAAAGAGAAAGTTCTATAGAATTGGAAAAGATTTAATTTTTTATATATTTTTCAATTATAATACATACTTCTATATACATATTTATATGTATACATACATAGATAGTAATACGTTTTTTTTTTTGGTTTTTATTGAAAGATGGAGATCTATGCATCACTGTATAACGCATACAAGAAAAATGGTCAAAGAATCAGTAGAAGCTATCCAGCAAACCTCTTAGGAGTTGATAATTTAATTTCCACACTCCATGGCCTTTTTCTTCATTTTTGGATGTGCATTGTGATCAGAGGGCAAAGGTTGACAACAAGTAAGGTTGGCATATAGTAATTTTGGTGCACTTGCATACATAGCAGTGAATAAAGGCATGAAATTACCCCGTAGAAAAAAATCATTTTTTCTACTAAGTTTTTTATTTACTTTGAATTTGAAATGAAAATTTTACCTTTTCAAA